CGACACACCACTGGCACCATCACCGAGGCGGATTTGGAGGGAATGCTCATCGACGTTTGGGGGGCCAACTGGTCAGTGCCTAAATGCTACCGCTGGAGCCTTTGGAAGAATATTCGATTGCCGAAAATTATCTCGCCATTGATGAGACTACCCCGTCGCGTGTTCTGTTGACTGGCATCGTTTCTAAAGGACGATCAAGTTTTACGTTCAACACAATTTGGATGTAACACCGGGCATCCAGCAAGGCAGATGAGGGCGGGTGGACGTGTTGTGTGGAAACTGGTCAGCCAGCACATCATTTGTCGTTCTTCAATGCCCCCCCTGTGTTGAACCTTTTCCATCCAAGCACCTCTCTGAAAGCCGCCAGGTTAATTACGCTCGTGTTCCTGTTGTGTGCCGTCTTGCTACGACGAGAAGAAGTATACGTTGACATGAGACACACGGAGGAACCAAATCTACTGCGATTGGTCTTGATAACGTAATCACAATCTCGCGGGAAAAGGCTCCTATGGCATCTTTCCAACACGTGGGCAATGTGGTCAAGCCTTCGCTTTCTCTCCAACGCATCCCCACCTTGCCGGCCCCTGTCGAACCCGGGTTCCTCGTTTCGGAGCAGCAGACAAACATTTTATTTCGAAAGTTACTTCTAGCAGGGCACATTGCGTCTTGGAAATATCCGAAAAAGAGTCTCCTACCTGGAGGGAGGCAGGGATTGTCGACGCTGTCTTGTCCATCGCGGAGGAATCACGCAAAGAATTATTGCGTCGCTCTTACCTTACTGATTGTGCTAGGGAGGACGATGCACTGGCGAGGGGACTTCTGGCGGAGCGAGTCGGGGTCGACCCGATGCAGCCGACCGAGTGGAAGGACTTTTGCAGATCTTACCCCAACCTCCTGCATCCGATTTATAAGCTGCAACGAACCCTTCAGGTTAGAATGCGACTACTAGCTGGTCCACACATCAATACAACCTCGATGGACGGCAACAGGCATCCCAGGTCCCATTATGTACACAATGTTTTGAATGATGGGTCGCATATCGTGCGCATTCAGTTTGCTTGCTGTTAGTAGCCAAACACTCATGTTTTTGGCAGTCCCAGGTTTGGTATTGATGAGTCCAGGTGTAGGAAAAATTTCGGTCAAAGCTTTTGGCTCCTCTTGCCGATCTTCTTGCTTTGTTGTAAGCAGTGGTAGCGTATTGTTCTTTGTTTCTCCGTTGACGGCTTGTTCTCGTCCCAACAGGACATGACCATCGGGAAGAAGCGATGGGCGAAATTGAACGAGAAAATGAAGCTCAGGGCAGCTAAGATGGGTAAGAAGCGAGAGGAACACGGGTGGGCTGTTGAGAACATAATTTTGGCCCCCGCATGTGCTTGCTGCAAGCAACTCTCGGAAATATTGCTTCGCATCGGGAACGCTAAGCCTTTGTTTCGTCGAGAAAGATCGCCCTGGTCTGCCCCCCTTGCGCTGGACCATGTTATCTCTCGCTTTCGACGCCCTTTTGCCAACGGCCGTCGAAAGCAACACATCCTGCGAAAATCATATCCCACATCGCCAACCCAACACCTGACATGGAGTTTCCCGTTGCCTTGCGATGACCTGCTTGTCCGACTCGTGTTCGCGACTCGCGACAACTCGAAGAGGCGGACCACGCACGCATGATGCGAGACGCGTTAACAGAAGAGGATAAGCAGCTGGCGATCAAGACTATTCGAGAAGAGAACGCCGAAGCAAGCATGCTAAACGGCACCAGGAGTGAGAGGTATTGCATGACGTTACTTGCCGTCTGGACTGACGTCTACTACTTCACGCGCAACACACGTGCCTGCATCATAGAATGAACAGCTTCGTCTGCACGTACAAATGGGGCCGAGCACAGAGAATGAAGCTATTGGCATGGAGTACGTTCGAGAGCGGGAGGAGGCCGAGGCAACATGCGAGAGAAACCGACACGCCAACGACGCCATCTCCAGTCGCCTGTCACCTCCAAACACTCGATGCATGTTATCATTTGCTTAGTGTAGGGTCCGTTCAAACCAAGTCCAAGTCCCAATGAAAATTTGAGGGACGTAGACACTCGGCGCAGATCATCTTCGATTACGGCAGGTTGAGATTCGGCAAGATGTCCGTGACCGAATCGACAAACAGGTGCTATGGAACCAAGGAGAAAGAATGAGGATGGGGGGTTCTATCGACAGCGGCCGGCGGCGAGTCTCAGGCAGTTATCGCGTGAAGGCGGCAAATAAAATCCTCGAGACACGCTCATCCCTCAACCGGACCTGCTCACAAGAACAACGGGAAGAACCACACCTCTCGTTCCACGGTGGACAGCCGCGGCCGTTTGACACGGATCGCGCAACAAACAACAATGATGTCCTTGGCCAGCTCGTACTCCACCCATATTGCAGGCATGAAACCAAAACCCGAAACACGCATACTCTATGTGACGTCAGGATCGTGGCGGTTAAGGCGGTTGCCGATGGAGGGGATGGAGATCTGGTGCCAGGCCTTGCCGTGAGAACAGGGCCGGCAGGGCTCCTCGGCGGGACGTCAAAGATGGCACCGTGAGTCTCTGACCTTAGGGATTTGCTGTGGCTGTTGCGGTCGTTTCCGGCGTTGCTCTTATCGACGTTTTATGTCGACACGACTACAAAAGTCCCACGCCGGCCTCTGCGTATTTACTTCACAATCCTGTAGACCCCATCACCAAAATTGCAGAATTAGCTGTGGAGGCCATGGTCGAGAAAAGGTACCAAGAAACCAGGCGCATCACGATTGTCCTCTGACGTTCAAGAACGTCGACAAACCAACCAGGAGCAGCAAGCCTCTTGGGGACGCACCGCTTTCTTCTCGTACCTAGTTATTTACGGCGGTTCGCGTCCTTGCTGGTTTGATTGGTGCGGACGAGAAACCGCACAGAAGGTCGGTGAAGTATCAAATGCACGAAACAACAGCAACATGATTGACAGCAACAGCAACGACGACGACAACCGCATCCCAAACGCAGCCCTTATTTCACCAAGGGCGGCACGCAGAAGTCTCCGAGGTGCAGCACCGCCACTATTTCCCCTATCCCCTTACCCTCCAACTGAACCCAAGGATAACATCAAGCTTGGAGGCACGGAGTCGTCTAAATGCTGCCAAGAATCGAGCGAACGTGCTGGGGGTGGACACTACCACGGGAGACGAAAACCCGCTCAGGAGGTGAGAAACGCGGTGATGGCTTGGGCTTCACTGGCATTTGTAGCGAGTATTAGGTAAGACCTACAGCAGTACCTGGAACGAGAAAACAGTGGATTGAATGGGGGTACCTGAACTCAGGCAACCAATGAATGAATTCATCACCGAAGGTGACTCTCGCGGCCAAGATGACTTTTGCCCAATGGTTGGTGCAAGCGCGAATGCCTTTTTCTCCGGGCCTCACCACGGGAGTTCGGTTCTGTTTCCAATCGGGACCAAAGGAAGGCAGCCTTGTACTTGCGGCTGAAGGTTTGGGCACGGGACTCCGGAACGAAAGACCTTGGTTCTTCCACCCCAGTCGTGGAAAAGGATGCTGAATATCTCCATGAAGAAAAGCTGCTAATGACCGACGTCTTTGCGCGTGATCGCGATCAGTACATCGCCATGCAAAAATTTCATCCAAACGCAAAGGTGCATGTCTTCATGGTCAACACTTCGTCAGCACGATCCACTGCGTGTGAACCCCCCATGTTGCGTACATGTCACAAACAATATACACCTGGACCCCTTGTCGTAGGGCCATCTCCGGTTCTGAACAAGAGATGCCGAAGTTCGCCATGACGTCGCGAAAGGTCAAGGGGTCCGATCTCGCCGAAGACGGGGAAGACGGGTCAGTAACCCAAGTATACACAATTTTTGTGTCGCGGGTGTTGTTGTACAGCCTACAATGAACTCGGTTTCGCGGAAACGTCTTGTTGAACGTGATCTTCGAAACGCATGGTCGGTGAAGGCATTGAGGGATTTAAGTATATTCGAAAAAGTTGATACAATACCTCTCTACCCGCGCGGTTGAAGCTCCCCGCGCCAACGTGACTAGTCCGATCTCACGCTGGTGTGCAAATGTTTCGCGCCCGCCGATGTTGTTGGGTAGTTGGGTAGTTGAGTGTCGTTAGTCAAAGTTGTGAGGTGACGAAGCCCGAATTTTTGACACAACCGATCTGACCTTCTTGCCATTGTCTACCTTGTAGGGACGGCTTGAACTCTCTGTCAGCGATGACAGCGGGGAGTAATGGCACAACACGAGCGCCCTTAGGCTCAACAAACAACAGCGGCCAGAGGCAAGCCCCCTCGCTTTCAGATGTGAGTGACCCTTGTGCCGTGTCAACACCGATGATGAAAACAGCGCCAACAACGAACTATGTCTCGATTCGTCCATCCCCTCTCTCTCCGCTTACCACTGCCCCTACCGCTTTCCAACAAATATCCTGTTGTCGGCACTCCCAACTGATCATCGCCCCGTTATAACGAAGACGATGATTGCGGGAGGGAGCGCGGGCCATGATCAAAGGCCTTCCTTTGCAGGGTCTCATCGGATCGGAGGGGGACAAGGGTACTCTGGGAGCACGATAGGATGTGAGCGTGATGTCGCGGTGATATTGTGAAGAACAAGTTTGGCTCATAGCGCATACTTCATCTCATCGATTGCTAGCCCTTTCAAGCACAAGAAGACCCGGAAAACTGTAGTAACACCCCGTACCATATTTTACCGCCCACGGCAACGTTCTCGAGCTTACTGTACCTCGACTGAAAAATTAAGCGTTTCCTTGGAATTTTTTGCCACAATGGACATGGTGGACGTTTTGTGCATGTTCAAATCGCGGCAGGTAGAACAAAAACTCTCGCCCATATGTCTTACCCATATCCCTCCGGATGGTGATAGAATGCCCCGGGGTTACTCTTGTTTCATGTATACAGTCGTGGCTCCGTTATAAAAGGGTGGTGTGACAACGGCTCTCCAACCCTCTTGTATCGGTAGAAGAGGGTTACCCTCTTGTATGAGGGTGTTCCATTGGAGGGTACCCTCTCATAGAGGGAAAATCGGGAAATCTCGAGCAACAAAGGCACTTTGACTGCGGCACAGCGTACCAGTATGCCGTGTAGAGTAGATGTGTAAGCATGTAGTAGTGTGGTGAAGTGTTCACTAGTGGCCAGAGGGGCAGGTTGGGCACCAACCACAACCTGGGGGGGGGGGGTTGGAAGGCCGAGTTCGACCTTCAACCCATTTTTTCTTCAGGCTTGCAGCCCGCCGTGTTGATTGGAATAACGCCACTATCCAAGATGCGGGATAACGTGCACACTTTGGGCTGCAACCTCCCGCAACCTCCCCCCCCCAGGTTGTAGTTGGTGCCCCAACCTACCCACAACCTGCCCCTGGCCACCAGTGTACGCACGTGTGGTGGGCTGATTGCCGGAGTTCACACGCCCAAATCAAGCCGGGTGATTGTGATCGTATCGGCAACGCTTTCCAACTCTTTCCGTTTTGTATTTAGTCCATGGAGTAGAAACATCTGCAGAGAGTTATTGCCTCGCAGCCAAGTCGACGCAGCTATTTGACTAGGAGGTAAAGTGCATGTCCATGCATGCATTTAAAACGCATAGTCTACAGAGTTGAACGGCATGTTACAAATTCCTGGACACCTCTCCGCCCATGCGAAACTGCATGTACACACGGTACAAGGAAGTGTCGTATTGCACCAGTAAACGGTCTACCTCCCCCGGGCCCCTGGCACACACCAACATACACACATTACCCACGTCTATTTAGAGGATAACTACTTAAGGTCTGTCTGCGCTGCAGCTTTTGAACCGTATTCTAACGGAACGAAATTCTAGCCTAGCACAAACAGCCCCCTGCTTCTACTTAGCGCCGCGATGTGTCTGTTCGTGTGTGTTTTTTTGTACCTTTATTATTTTTTTACATCGACCGCGCTAAACAGCTAACCAATGAAAACCGTCAGTCTCAGTGCGGCTAACACAGACAGTGTTTCGAAAGGCCAAGATCTGGGACCCCATAAGGGGGTGCAATGGGGGGGGCTAAGCTACTCTCCAGGAAAAAAAGATAGAGACGGTAGCAATAACATAGAGGAGAGCTGCACGTGTTTATCCAAGGCTGCTACTTTGCACATGTGTTCGTTTCGAAGTGCTTTCATCATCTTCGCATCATCCTCCTTGCATTTGCCACCAGCTTCACCATAACACCACTATTCCTTGGCAGCTCCTCTCTGGTCTATTCTTCCTGCGGCGTTTGTTGTGAGGAAGGTGTGTTTGTTTGTGAGTGAAAGGCTACAGTACCCAACTGACAAGCCCGCTATAGTGCGGTAACCCCCCTCGTTAGGGGTTGGCCCCACTATAAAGGGTCCGGGCTCTGTATAAGAGGGTAACCCTACTATACAGTAGCGAGTCGAGTCCGTGACAACCGATTCGACCCTCTTGTATCGGAGCCCCCTCTTGTAAGGTACCCTCTTGTAACGGAGCCACGACTGTACGGATAAAAATTAAACGCGTTCTGTTTTAGTGTTGTTTTGCCTTCGGACGGACTGACAAGTTGGCATTGCTACATTCCTACCCAGCCATCGAGCTGGTAAATCATTGTCCAGCTAAGACGAAATCCGTGATACATCCCAACAACGCGCGCCAAGGTTCAGCCCGGGAGTGGGAAATGGTAGAATTGAAATGTCTGTGCCCGACACCAGCCGATGGACTGTTATGGGTCGGGGTGGCTAAGTATCTCGTTAGAATGCGATAGAGACGAGCTGCACACACAAGGCCGCAGCCCAATGACACGATAACAGTGGCCGTGCCCCCCGGCGTATGCCATCCGCCGACAGGATTGATTTTGAGTTGTGGCGGGAAGACTTCGTCGGTGCGCCGTACAACTCATCGCGGAAACATTAATTTGGTGCATAAACATGTTGTTCTCCTTTTTTTGCCAAAGAATCCGTGCAACCTGACTGAACACTGGACATTGCATTCATGAATAACTGATTCACGCTTGGACCCGTTGCGGGACAAATTCGGGCTTGTGGTCGGGAAATTGCGGGCTGATGGGTGCGGCAGCCCCCGGAGCGCGATCGAAAGAAGCGTCAGACCCGCGACAAACCTCCAGAGTGGTAAGTTTTTAGGTTAGCCAGACGTTGTTGTTGCTGTTGTTACTGTTCGTGATTATGGAAATGTATTTCCGTGCGATATCAGAACTACTTGAGGAGAGAGGGTTCCACCGTTGGCCCGGATTCACTCCAGCCATGCACGTGTTGCATGCATACATTTTGACACAAGTTCATCCGTGCGTCAAACTGACTTGAAACCAACCTTTCGGACAACCTTGGAATCTGAGGGACGAAATTCGGATTCAATATGACACTCGTCTTGAAAATAGTCTCCGACTGTGGAAAACGTTTGCAAGTATCCTCTGGCAGCAGCTAGTGGTCTATTGAGACCACTACCTCCCCTTCCACTTTGACCACGATTTCGGGCCATCCACAGGGATTGTCTTGAGCCCGGGCCCCATAACCACCATCGTTGACGACGTGCAATTTATTGGAATAGGTTTCTCCCGGAAGAAGGAGAATCAATCGCGATCGAACCTGCCAACCTTCTACAATGCATTACGCAATTGAATTGACCTTTCGTTGCTCGACTTACCTGCCAACAACTTTGATTCCGGTGCGGTGTAAGTACGCCAAACCAGCCGTGTTTCACAACAGTAGCATGTATTCCATTAATATTCCCCCAAGGGCAGCACCGGGTCGAGTTCTTAAAGTGTTGAGGGGGCTCTCTGAGAGCAGGTTACTTACTTGCCCAAGCCTATTGAAAGTTCGGCAACTCTGTAGAAGAGTGGGGCATCGACCATGGGTCGGATTTCGTACAATAACAACGCCAAAATACTCCGCGGTTGAATGAAAATGGAAACGTCACGTGTTCCTATGGATTTGTGTCTACCGTTGTCATCATGATGATCATCATGACGATCAACAATGAAGGGACTCTCCCTATCGGTACTGAGCATTGAAGAATATGGATCCAATCGGATGGATCCAAACTTTGAACAAATGATAAAACTATCTATGTGAGCTCTGTGAACTCCATGATACCTTCCCATCATCCCGACGCTTGTACCTGTGCTCAACATTTTCCCGACGAAATATACTGGATGTCGACGCCAAGGATCGGCCGTCCTCGGGCGACCTGGTACCAAAGCGGGCTTCAACGGCGATGGCCGCCACAAAGCGGTCATCGACCATTGCCACCACTGGGGCGGGATCCCAAAGAAAACCTTCCGTGGCGATCACGGCGATGAGCCATCGTCCCGATGTCACGGCGAAAACTGGAAAGCATCCCTCCATCGCCGCAGTAGGTGGAAGAGGTGCGGGCGCATCGAAACGAGCATCGACTGTGGCCTATCGAGAGGGGAGGAAGGACCTCCTCTCGAGACATCGGAAAGCTTCTCAGCAGGGGGTCGGTGCTGGCAAGAGGGTCTCACGCGCTGTCGTGGCAGCGGGGCCATGACATGCTAGCCATACGACATCCACGGGTGGTTGTTGTACATAGTAGACTGCAGTTTCGTCATGTGTGTTTATATGTTTGCCAATTATCTGCCGTATTTACGGCTCCGTGTCGAAGCCATGTGAAAGATTTCAAACCGAGGTTCGCTAGTAACACCGCCAACGCATTGTCCTGAAGGATTGAAGTCGATAAATGTGTCGTGGAATGTGCGGAGCACGGCGCATTGCCGTTGTTTTTATGTGTTACCTGCATAGACTAGTATTAGATATGACAACTAAGGGGGTCTTGAAGTGGATGTTGCCAGTTGTGCTGCCGTGGTTACGCGAGCGTGACCTCTTCTTTCGCTACCCATCTGAAATTGCCCAATCGATGTGACGTTGTGACTGCCAATAAAAGGATGCTCATAGCTTTCTTCGCTTGAGGAAGAAGAGATGCAGCAAGGTGTGGTGAAAATGTAATAATGATGCCGGGAAAACCCGCGCGCTGAAATACCTAGGTAATTTTGCTTGAATATCTGCTCGATTCCATCTGTGCCGGACCTCGCAATGCTTCTCCAATGGTACTGATCACAAAATCTCACGGCTCCCGGCTACAGTAGGCAAGGCAGAATAATATTGTTGCCATCCATTCAACCCACTGTTCCGCTTGCACGTGCCGAAATGGAGCCGGGGAGGCTCATGGACAACTAACGCTGATAAAACCCAATTGGGGTATCCGGCGTAGGTCACTTGGGCGCGGCACTCCTCTCTACGCAATCATACATCTCGAGCCGCTGTGTTCATTGTAAAATGTCACACAAGAAAACGAATAGGCCAAACGTTGTTAGCGGTGGAACACACCGCCGTCGGTTCAGCTTTTCTCTCCGTTGCTATCGTGTGGGATTTCCAATGCATGTTGAGGCGTGCCTTGATCAGAAAAGAAAACGCAAGAAACTGACACCTCTGCAAAAAACAAAAAAATATTCCTACAACGTAAGTGGCATTTGTGGAACATCAGGTGCACGTATTTGTTTCCATCGCGAAACACATTAATCACAACTACGATACAAGGGATGATGGTCGTAGGCGCCTACACACAGCAGCAAGACCCCAACATGCGCCAGTAAAACGCCGATGAACTAGCGAGCAGCACAAGGAGGCTGGTCATCAGTGACCGAACACTGCAGTCTAACACTTAACCCAGCATCAACATGTCCTACGAAGCTCAAAGCAAAGGTGGAAAATCCTAAAACATCTACACGAGAAAAAAGACGGGGGGGGGGGGGACCTTTGCTGAATACGAGGCCTCGGCAAGGAAGCGGAAATGGATAAACGAAAATTGTTGACGTTGCATACTTCATGCACATGCTCATAGAGCTGAGCTCGTGTTGAACTCGGAGAAACTCTAAAACACAAGCAGTTTTGGCGGGGCGTGCCACAAAGCTGCAGGTCGACGAACGCTCCCTGAGCAAGCTGTCAGTTCCGTAACCATGTGTGGGCTGGAAATCTGGTCGCCTCAAATGCGATCTTGGCGACGTAGAAATACCTCGGGTAGAATAAACACCTAACACCGACAGCATACATCTCAAGCACACAGGCTTTCTGATAAAGTACAGTCAACTTTCAAGGTTCGGGTTGACACGTTTTCGTTCCAATTAGATTTCCCGGCACAGACGAAAAAACGCTTCATGCGGCGGGGCTTCCGATTGGGTGTGACTACATCTTCGGGGGAATAGGGTCCTCGTCCGGCTCCACTCCCAGCATCTCCTGCGATCAGGTCGACAGCAACAACAGCAACATGGCCAAGAAATGGTCATAGGGTACTTGGGGGGATCAAGTGAAAGGTTGCCTCCTGGAAAGTATGGCGAGACCGTCGGGGGGTGGAAGGTCTCCCTAAAGTCCTTCTGAACGCGTCCGAATGCTACTCTGCATTTGTAGAGCGAGTTTGCCAGGCATAGAACGTATCGAGAAATCGGATTTTCGATAGTTGAACCAGCATCCGCGCCTTCGATCTAGCAGCTGAAAACACATACAAGTACCAGAGGGTGGGGTCAACAGTTCAGGTAAAAGCAAGTGTATTCGACACACGTTGAATGGTAACGAACGTCCAATGAGGTTTCACACATGCGTTGCTGCCTCAACCCAAAACGAAAAAAACAACGGCAGTCCCCATCCAAAAATATTAGCGTTGTGCCCTCCGTCTGAGCTATCGTATTTTACACCATACTCATCGTGCTGCCATCAAAACAAGAACAGCCAGATTGCGCAGGGATAGACGGAAATAAAAGAAGCGAAACCTTGGGCGAAACTCGGATGAAGGACTACTCGTTGTCGAGGAAAGCCAGACTCACCATGACGACCTTCGGCTTCTTCTCCATGCCGTCCGCGATCATGTCCACCACGTCCATTGCGTTGCGCTTGCGGGTCACCCACAGCGCACGGAACCTGACAACCACCCCGATTGGTTCAGAAATATCGCAAACAGCAGCGACAATAATGATGACGTCGAGACAAAGAAGTTTGAACGTGTTTGCGCACACAGACCAGCACGCACAGCAGTGATGAACTGCTGCGGGTCCGTGCCCGCGTGGGGGGGCTTGAAATCGAACCAGGATGCGTTCTTGCGCACGAAAGGACGCACAAAAACGCGACGACACTAGCTTCAGAAATGTCTGGCAAGTCCTGTCGGGATGGGATACGGGGAATTCGATTTGAATACGCATGAGCTACGATAAACCAGTGTTCAAGAGAGCCGTTTGGCAGCAAAACACCGTCTTGTTTAGATATTCACATCCTTTCTCATTGTTTAAGAACTTGTCTCAAGGGAAACATCATCACAGGGGATGGGCAGGGTGAGATTCGCCAAGTGCTGCAAGGAGGCGTCATGATCATCCCACGCCGTGTCAACGTCAACGCAGAACAGCGCAGTTCCAGTCTATTGCTGCCGTCACCAAGGGTTGGCCCGCGCAACACGTACTTGTTGAAGCTTTGCTTCGCGGTCTTCATCCCCCCCGCCGCCACGCTCCGGCCCTGCCCCTTCGCAGCGCCATTTCTCGCCTCCTGGTGTTGTTGTCGATGTCGTTTTTGCCGCCGCAGCACAACATTGTCAGGACAACCACGACCAAGACCAACCAATCCGGATACGAAAAAAAGTATTAGCACGCCAGAACGCCCTCTTCGAATGTGCAGCCGGGAAACATGCCCTTATACGAATGTAATGCGTAAGGTCACCGAAATTGCAAGGACAAAAAAGAGCGAATTGAAAGAAGAGACGAGATGCTTGCGTACCATCATCAACATCACATTATCCCAAAACGCGCAAACTCAAGTTTCCCGATGGCGAAAAAAACAAAAATATGGAGAGAGGTCTACGTAGCTTTTCGAAATCGGTCCTGCATTCATGTATGCATGAAATAGACAATAGAGTCTGTCACCCAAATTAGTTTGTCTGAGCGAAAATCGCAAGATCGTCCCGTATACAAAAGCCCCAACAACATCAGAGTCTTTGAACAAAGATACAACAATCAGCATAACCACAACACCATTGTCTTCATGAGGACAACCCTTACCGCCTGCTCCAGCTCTTGTGCGCAGTTGGCCAACTTCTTTGTCAGTTCATCATCGGTAGGCTGGCAGGAAAGGGAACTGGCCCTCGCCCTAGTTTGTTGCTCCTGAAAAGATCAACAACAATGGAAAATGGGATTCTACCTTATATGTTTCTCCGTATGCAGGCATAGCAACGAGGTCGGGGCTCCTTCATGAGTGGACTAGGAGGAACAAGAGAAGCAATTCCGTCCGCGGGTTGGTTTCGTGGACACGAATGACAACCTAGGACATGGACAATGCGTCCGTTGCTGTGCTTGAGCACAGCGGAGAATGGTACGGGTGTTGGGAATAACACATGGCTTGTTTGGGTTGTCCACGAGGAGAAAACAACGCGAGAAGTGTCGTTGTAGCTCATGATGATCTGTCTCTCGCAGTATACACCAACATCTGGCTTCGTCTTCTCTGCTGAGGACCTACCACCCAGGAGCGCACGGGAATTTTCCTCTACTGTGCATACCTTCAACGTTATCGCGCAAAAGACTCGGCAACGTTCATCCTCTCTCGTCAACGACTACTGCGAAACGTATAAACTCACGAAACTTGAGCATTCTATGGCGAGTAACGGGAGGAAATCGAGTCATCAAATGCCGACTACGAGCTCTTGCTAAAGATGATGGTGGGAGGGGTTTGAAAACCTGACCTTGACCGTCCAAGGTTTTGAGGATCCTCTGAAGGCCATGGGAACAATCCATCAGCAGTCAACTATCGCCGCAACCTTTTGTTAGCAAAGCGTGTACTGTAGCTTGTGGCACTTGATGGTCCGAAGAAACTTGCCCAAGCATCGAAAATATTGTCGAAGTAGACTCTGCCGTACCTGCTTGGACACAATCTCGAGCTGCGAGGTGAGGGTCTTGGCTTCTTGGTCCAGTGTTCGCATCTTGTCAGCAGAGGCGTCGCCAGCCCCGTTCGGCAGGGCATCCTGATAACACAGAAAAACAGACGATTTCAGAACAGGCACCAAGAAAGAACCCTACAAGAAGCGAGCACCTCAATCGCGCGTGAAAAAGGGGGCCAACAAGCCGTGGCCATCCTGCAGGTTCTGGCAGTCTTCCTTCGTGATTAGTTGGCGAAACTCGTCGATTTGGCTGGTTAGTCACCTGAAAAACTAAATAGGAGCCGAGGAGAACAGGCACGCACGGTGAAAAAAGTGGCACAAGGCAACTCAACAGTCCAGACCTTGTGCTCCCTCGATTCTCAATAGCGAGAAACGCTCCATGAGTTGGCTGTAGCTCTTGGACCCACCTGCACGTTGGTCACAATCCTCATCTCCTTGGTCCAAGCGGTTTAGTGGTTTGCCGTGTTCCCACAACAAACCCTGCGGTTACCCTTCCCCGTCACCTTTATTTCATGCTATTGTGGATTGTACATTGGAATGTTGCACAGCAGTGCACCTGGTTAGCGTAGTAAATCCTGGCCTTTCCATACTCCTGCAGCTTGAGCGTTCCATCTCGCACCAACTCGTCCAGCAGCTTCTGCACCATCGCTGAACCGTACAAAACCAACAGCATGAGCGGCACCAACAACAACGGTCACCGCGCCGTCGTACACGCAACCTCAAGTCATGTAAGATCGCGACGTCGAGATAGGTCTAGGGCCACTATGTATTGTAGAGTTCAAGAGCAAGAAACAAATCGATATGTGGAAACTACCAACAGCAAAGGGAGACCCGTCGAACGCGCAACCTGTGCCAATCGCTACAAAACATCACCAAACCACCAACAGTCCAATCCGAACCAATGTTCCACGGAATGGGGGCCAACCCACGGCAGGGTTACGGTGGAGGCTAGCATCGCCTAGGCGATGCATCGAACAACCAAAGCTAATGCTAGGGTTACAGCAAGACCGATGTTAACGGAGAATCCTATCATGTCTGTGGATGAATGGACCTACATGTGGGTCGATTCTGCGGTAATAAATTTGGTGTATGTATATGTTTATCATCGTCCATGCCGATCGGAAAGGGGAAAACGGGAGTGATAGGACGCCTAAATACTGTTAACTTGTTTGCGTATTCACCCTTGGGGATCTTCTTGCGGAGATTGTCGAACACGTTGATGTAGCTGTAGGGACGGTTCGACTGCAGCATGTAGTCGGAGACAGCCGCCTGGTGGGACACGAGAGAAACAGAGGCAGAGACAGAGACAGAAGGAGAAGGGGGGGGAACAGGGGAAGAACAGAGACATTGAGTCACAGAGAGGGAGACCAAGACAGAAGCAGCAGAGAAAAGGTATCGGGCACGAAACGCAACTCAAAGGTGTCGGGGCAAAACCGTTGCCGCCAGTGGCACACTATCTAGACCGTTCTATTAAGTATCTCATGAAGCTCCTGCAATGGGAGACTTGTCGACATGAGATCTCATAGAAGGGAAAAAACAAAAAAGCAAGGAAGCAGCATGGAATTTCACATCGCGGTGCACAGATCGGTCGGCACCTCGTTTTTTAAACGCTAAATGTTGTGGGTGGGCCCTCCAAACCGTTGCAGAAGGATCGCCTGCCGCGTGGCAAGTGCGCCTTTCAGCACCAGACCCGAAATCTTCATCCGTTATCATTACCCTTACTGCTCAAGAGATGCTGTTGCCGATAGTCCATGGATAAGAGTCCAGGTTAGCCTTGCTTGATGGCATCTCCGTGAACGTTGCCGACACATGGTAAAACGGACAGGAACACGAGTGGTGTTGCGGAAAGTCACAGCGGGACCTGGCCAACCTCCTGATCAGACCGCGTACGCTTGTCCCTCAGCAGCATCTTACGAATGGTCAACGCCAAACTCCTTGTGCCCACCTTGGGGGTCTTTGGGGCGCTTCCAGATGCTCCCGCTCCTGCTGGTCCTTTTTTTCCGGCCGCCGTGCCACCATTGGCGCCGGTACTTCCTCCAACTGGTTTCAGCACGGGGGATGTGCCAGCTGAAACGGTCGTTTTGCTGCTATTTTTTTCACTGGCATCGGCACAGGAACTAGCCTGGGGATCCTTCCCGTTGCTACCACTATCCCGTCCTCCCGGGGTGGCTGGCGTTCCGGGTCCTGGCGACGACGAAGACGACCCTTGTGATGGCGAAGGCTTGTTGTTGTTGCTGCGCCCAGCCGCCTTCCCTTTCCCCTTCTCCTTCGCACCAGCGGCCGGTTTTTTCGCCGACGCTGCTGTCGCCTCCTTCATTTTCTTGCTGCTGCTGCCACTACGGTCAGCGGCAAGGGCGGCGGTGTTTCTTTTACTCTCACCGGAGGAGGACGACGGTGCGGCGGTGGCGGCAGTAGCCGGTTGCTGGGAAGGCGTTCTAGCGCGTTTCCTCGCCTTGATTGGGGTTTCGAAAACATCGCTGTCGTCTCCGGTGGCCCCATCGTCGTCATCGTCCTGCACATGCACAATAACAAGGGGTGCACGGTGTACGAACTAAGTATGTATTTACGGAACGAAAAGGATGCAGACCGTACATGGCTCTGGGGGGTACGCTGAAAATGTACTGACAACAAGAGACTACCCGTTCGAGATACTACTCCGTTTGAACCGATGTGCTGTAGTCTTTACAGCTATATGAGGGTTAAAGGGCACCTGCTGGAACGGGACTCACACTGTAGACTACACAGAGAGCAGTTGACCGCAAAAACAAACACCTGGTGTCGTATGTACCTGGCATAGATATGCTACAGTAATAAATACTGGTATGTACAAAAACAACGCCCTACAAGCCTCTGTTAGATCAATGACAACATTGTCAAGACACCCTCCGGGGTAGGGCTGTGGGCTAGAGGCTAGCTGCTGCACTGCTGTAGACTATGATTTGTCGAACCATGTCGTGGAACCTTGATCTTCAGAGGAAATCTGCACGCCGTGCACGGTGAACTCTTGATGCACCAGCGAAAAATACGAAGTAGTGGCATCCTTACCTCGTCTTCCTCTGACTCAAACGACGCCGACGAATCCCCGTCTTCCTCCTCCTCCTCCCCACAAGCAGAATCGTCCTCCACGAACTCCTCTGAGGAGTCGTCTCCTCCTCCGGCCATGATGACGATCTGCCAGGATCACCAAGCCAGTCCGCAGATTGAAGCAAAAAGGCGGGAAAATGCAAAACCGTTGTTGTTGGACAGTGCTACCAAACGTAGTCACGCTGAGTATCTAGTCCTCTTTGCAGGCCTGATTGGGTGTGGATCGACAACGATGGTGTACGGGGAGAAGGCCGTGGGCCACGGCCGGAAATTCAAAATGTCAATGCTGTCCTGACAAAGGAGTTCGCGAGGCGTTTTACAAGTATAAAAAAAACAAAATGATGGAGAAATCGGCAAATCACGCCGCAAAGGCCGCGATCTTGTGTCGATGACCTCTCTCTTGGAACAATCTTGCGCTCTCCAAGAGCCGCCCTACATAGGATACCCTGCTAGGAAAAGAACGAGGCAGTGGCCATGGAAGACTTCATGTCTCGTCGTTTGCCCTACGAGGTACGCTACTGCTGAAGGATGTGTATTGCTGTATAGAACATGATCGATCATGATCGCGGACCTCGTGCTTGATTGAGTAGGATTCGCCTTGACTTGCATATTGTTTGCTGCTGGTTGGCGATGAGGCTTCTGCTCAGTAGCCACATGTATCGGGGGGGTCGAGACCGGGCCGTTTGTGTGACCTAGACTACATTCTTAGCGAGAGAAACTGCATGCATGATGTCTACATGTACAGAGATCAGCAACTTCCTTCCTTCGGCTTCGCTGCCCGAAAATTGAAAACATGACATGACTTAAACGAATGCGCAATTAGACAGGAGTTAACGGTTCTCTGTAAATGATGCATTCCTGGATTCCTAAGTATCCCTGCAGGTGCAGAGGGAGGTTGTCCTGGACTCTGAGATACTGAGATACTGTATACGACACAAGATAACACACACCCTGGACCGATTTTCAAAGCCCGATTACGCCACGGCGAAGAGGATGCATAAATGAAACGATACATTTTCAGAAAGCTTTCGACGAGACGGCTTCATCGCCGCCGTTTTCGACGCTGTGACTCTTTCTGGTGTTGAGAAATCGAGCTCTGAAAATCAGTCCAGGGGGTGTGTTATCTTGTGTCGTATGCGTACGTACAGATTGTACAGGTCTGACTACTGTGTCCCCACACTTTTTGTGTCTGTGTTTCGTTTGTAAGTCCGTCACGCACGCCATGAATCATTTTTTAGTGCACGTAAGAAGCTAATCGATGTACCGGTCGGGTGCGGTTCTCCTGCAGTGGCGGCCCGCTCATAAGAAACATGAACATTTTCACAAGAAAGCTCTGTAGGATGGTGTCATCCTGTAGCTTATCAATGGCAATGTGCTCGATCTTTGAAACACGTCAAGGTGAAAAAGTCTTGGTCACTGGCGTGTTTCTTACGAGTGGGAGCCGGCCGGCACCGGTCACTTCTGTGAATGGAGTGTGCGACATCTACCACCTCGTTCAGATTCAACAGGAGGCATGCTTTTTCTTGTTATTTACCAGTGATGTTGAGGTCGTCGGTCGTACAAACTCTGGCCGGGCGCGCGTCGCAGCTCCAGCTCTTTTCCATGTAAGCGTGAAAGTATCCAGAGAGGACAGAACCGAAGTGGGTGGTCATACAATCACAACAACAGAACAAATATATAAAAAATCTTCTTGCGATGCGACTGCTATTGTTCAGAAGCTCGTGGGTCATTAAAACCCCTAGGCAAAGCCTGTTTCGGCCTTTCACTATTTATTGAGCGCACGTAGTTCTTCACGCGTGTATCTGGATACAAACTCGTGAGCGATAGTGCCTTAGCTGTGCTCTTTCTTTCTCGCAATGTGCCCCCTTCTCTCCAGGTTGTGTGCTGGGATTCAGAAGCGCCAGGCTTTGAAGGAGATCGCGTTCAATTTTCAGAAAAAGGCGCCCTTCCGGCTAACAGAGCGACGCCAACTTGGAGGTCCGACCGGTGAGTTCCCCACCCTCAATAATACTGTGAGGAGCAGTACAGGCATACAAAACACAATGTGAACGAAAAATCGCAACGGTGTCTGTTACAGCCTGCACCAAAGCTGGATACAGCATCCCTAGAACCCCGCGAGATGACAATCAAAACGCGTGCTTACAGCTGCCGCAGCCGCAGCCGCAGCCGCTGGAGAAGCAGCAACATGTCGTGATACCTCATTCATTCTGATGAACGTGCCGTCTTCAGATCTGTCTACCATTCTTTCGTCATTTGACACAACAGGCGATGTCGATTCCCGGTGGAGATAGGTCTTCGTCTAAAGGAACCCTGCCGCCTACAACAAGTTGTGGTGGTTTCCGAGACAGGATTGGCACCATCCGCTACAGAACTCTTTGTCGCGGGGCCGGCTCGCTCGGGAAGAGAAAGTGGAGGGAAAGAAAGAAAGCATCGTTCGTCGACATGTGCTTTGGAGAGCACTTGGCACAATGGGTCGAAGAAGGCAATAACGCATGTTGGCTGCATTTCGAAGCTGTGGTTCGTCGAACAAACAAGACACGGAGAACTTCGAGTGTATTCCTAACGTTGATGTCAAGGGATCAATATAGGTTCGATGGTGGGGATAGTGGTGGTGGTATCAGCGTCGAGGAAGTATTGCTACTCCTAACAGGGAGGATCAGAGGAAAAATAGTGCTTTTGTTGCCAGCTGTGCTTCCATGTGTTTGGTTGTTTTCGTTACTCTCCCTCAATCTCCTAAGAACAGTTTTGCCGCCGCTCTGGGTGTCCCTTACACGGCATGCGGGAGGGAGTCATGAAGCATGTACCCTCTAGACCCTGGGTCCCCTGCCAAAGGTAACACGATTCTCGATTTTTTCGAATTCCCGGCCGCTCAATGGCAATTTATCCCTCTCACCGCAAATTTCCGCTTTTTCGTCACCCGCGGCAGGAATCCATGGATGTGGCGCGCACAGCCTACCTGTCCTCGGTGTTCGTCAGAACCGATCGAACGCACTTCTCTCACGAGTTTGCCGGGAAGCTTCTAAACGGGAATATCGGGCAAGCCTCCACGGAGACATCGTGCAAACATTCGAGAACGTCGAGTGGTTCCAGGTTCCCATCTGCGGTCCTATCGGGGCTGTCATTTAAGGCTCAGTTCTTGCGCCTTGTGTTATGGGAGGCGGCGGGGTGCTACGACAACCCCGGACGGCAGGTGAGGTGTGAGACGAGGTGTGGGGTATTGGTGTTTGCCGCTACTGCGGTTGATAGCAGTAGTAGGAGTGGTTTGGGGAGTTTGTGGTTTGCTTTCTGTTGGTACCTCAAGCTCGTCCGTGCTATCATTTTTCCTCAACAACCATTTCTCTCGTTTTTTGCTATTTTTTCTGCTCATCCCTTGTTTGACTTGCTTCAATTCTCGTACATATTTGGTGACAATCGCTGGTCTGCGTAGTGCAGGTTGACGAAACCCATTCACCATGAATCGAAAGACAAGCGACTCAACTCTTCGCGACATCTGCATACCGACAAGAAACATAACGTTTCCACCTCCACGACGTGGCAGATTTCCATTACGCATATTCAAGTCCTGGGATGCCCGTTGAGAGACGAACACCGTGGCCGGATCAAGGTATTTATCTTCGGCTCTTCCTCCCCCAGATTTTGCATGCGCTTCGAGATTCTGCCCCCATACGCTACGAAATCATCGCCACAACTTACCAAACGAGAGTCGAGGTGCTGGGTTCTCCTAGTCGTGACAGAGAGGAACAACGCTATACCAGGGGGGTCAGAACATTAATTTCCGATAACTGTTGCCCTGACCTACGCTAGGGCGGCGCTTGTCACAGCCACCGGATTGCTTCCCGCAGCTACCAATGTGTACAGAGTGGGATTCCAAAACGTGATTTCTCCCGTTGTTCTCGCAGCCAATGGTGGAGGGGGGCCACGGGTACCACCGATACACCGCTGCCCCCGACGGAGACCATGAAGACAAAGATCAAATTGACCAGGTCCTCTCAGATCTCGGTATCGAAACGGTCTTAGCGCAAGGGCCTCAAGGAGTTCATGGGGCAAGGGATTCGTCAGGAGGTGGTGCGGTTTGGGAATATGAGGCGAAAAGGAGTAAGGTAGGGAAGAGGGGCCCACGAGGGGAGGGAAACGCCTCTGCCGCTTTAGAGGAGACAAAAAAAATGAAGCAGATGCTCCAGGTTGCGCACCGGTGAGCCTGTTGATATACATGTCAGGTGCAGCAGCTTGTGGCATGATTATACGGTCAAATTTCATCTGCATGCATCAATTTCCCGTGCTACACAGAACGTGTTGCTACAATCGGTATGTCGTTGCCCAGGCTGTTTCATCCACATTGTTTGAAGGTACTGCCTACCCTCGCTATCCCCAAGCAAAAGGTCTATCTTGTATCCACCTGGGATGAGAGAGACTGCTCGGAAACACAAAGACTCGGAAACACAAAGACTCTCTGTCTCTCTCTCTCTTTCTCTCTCTCTCTCGTTCTTTCTCTGACGCTCAAATCGCCGACCCGCCCTCAGCCTTAATTGTGCTGAGTCCCGACTCTCTGGCCGGAAGTCAGCCCATTCCACACTATCGTTCACGCAATCGTTACGCGTTCTGACTCAAAAATCATCAATAGACTCGTGTTATTCTATCAACACAAAGGGTTATCCAGTGGAGATGAGATCCCTGGGCAAGCGATGAGATCTACTATGTTTTTGCTGCGTCAATATTAACACACCGAAGCATGCGTAGGTTCCTCGGCGTGTGTTTCTGGCAGAACGGGATCTCTTCGCGGGTGTCCTCCCCGCTCACCCCTCAAGCGAGGAGAGTATTCACAAACTCGAGCAGCAATCGCCTACTACATAGCACTCGACACCCAAATTCCGTGCGTGATCGCTGATACGGAACGTGCAACATTTCATCATCGTGTACACGCCGAAGCGAGGAGAGATTTCACGAGGCCGAGCAGCTGTCGCTAGCACTCGATCGCGTAAAATCCCTAGGGGCTAAGCTCTATTCGGCGAGGCGAGCTCAGGAGAGTGCTTCACGTCGGGAGGAATTTGATGAGGCCAAGAGGCACCGGGATGAGGCGAGAGAGGCCGAGGTCTGGCTCCGACAGACCGTGAGCGATGCATCGGTGAGAAATGAACCGTTTTTTAAGAAAGGTCGCCAAGACGTATGGATATTTTCTTTCGCCCCTGACACCTGGAATATCTCTTTCTCTCTTTCTTTCTCTCTCTTTGTTTCTCTCTCTTTCTCTCTCATTCTTTCTCTCTCCACTACTGCGAACTACTTACCTCGGCAATCCGGAGAATTCATGCGATGGTGAACAATTATACGGGCACAAACCTATGACCAAGTTGGTAGGAGGATAGTTCGGCAAACGAACACGCCGCCGTACCTCGTCACCAGCTTGCGTCAAATGGTGTAGAAGAATGGGTACTCCTGGTTGCTGAACGTAGTGTCAGATCGTCGCCTCAGCTAAACATCTTATCGTCTGCCTTGTCCGGTTAATCATGGTATATCGACGGTCAACATTCTGACAGCGCAATTGCTTGTTTCAGGCACTACGTGAAGGCGGACGAAAAGAAGACGATCCCGCAACGACACGAACGCGTGACAACAAAAAACGCCTCATGAGCGGCGAAAACGCTTCACTACACAAAGAGGAGCGCTCTGCGCAGGGAGGTCTAGCATCAACATCACCAAGTTCTGTGACCAAGAAGGCGGCGGAGAATGCCGCATCCTACGAAGCCGAAACTGGCAGGCCAAGTTCCTCGGAAAACAACGACAGCGAAGACAAATCTGTTGAAGGACGATCGGCCCCGGAGTTAGTAAAGCGCTCTTCTTTCGATCAAAGACAAAAAGGCGACGGCAGCAAGGTGTGTTTAACAGCAGTCCCATTTGCTCCTGCTGTTGCGGTTGTTGTTGTTGTTGTTGTTGCCGCTGTTGTCCGTGCTTCGCTGCAAATGTCACACGTACAAGGTAGCAGATTTTGTCGGGCTTTCATTGAGATGAAAAAACATCAACGAAAGACGTCAACAGAGGATTCATCAGCTCCTCCGCAAACACTTGGAAGTAGGCAGAAAACCCTCCACCAGTTTCGTTTGCTCCCTTGATCGAGGAACACCCATGGCTATCGATTGGTCGCCACGCGCTTGCAAAGGACAAGCGCATGACGACCACCAAAGCCGTCTAGGTTTAACTTGCTTGTTTTCTCACCAGGATGGAAAACGAAACGAGAAGCAGGCGTCGTGGCCTCCTTGGCTAACCCCCTCTTGCCTAACATCTACCAAGCCCTGGCAAGGAGCTCTCCTCAACTTGCCGTGGCCAGCGGGGGTGCAACCTGATTTCCGGACCGTGTTCAGTCACGAGTGGACAGGTACGCCGCTTAATTCTACGGATCTCATGCAACAGAAAACGGTTGTGTTCGTAACGTGCGTTGCCCTTTGAAGGGTGCTGCTTGGTTGATCGCTCTGGTGGTGGTTTGGAGGCGTCCGAAACCTAAATAACTGTTGAGCTTTGAGCTTTGAAGCTTGAGGGACTCTGATAGTTAGCATAAGACGTTTCGTGCGATGGGCAATGTTCTTCGATAGGCCAACGCTCTACTTCGTCTGTATCGGACCAGGCGGCAGGCGGGAGCCAGGCGATTTAGCGTGGCAGATGTCAAGTGAAACGATAGGGGTGCCGATGACCGCGAAGGACAACAACAACAGGGAGCATGCTTCAGCGTTGCGGGCGTTGGATTCGAAGCTTGGTGGCAGCGGTGAAAGCGGCGGTCTACTATCAAAAGACCCAATAGAGCCGAGCGGACTGCTGCGTACCACCCTTCGCCTCGTTGCGGGTAAGAACAAGAATAGATGGTTTATTAGGTAAAGACCGGTTCAAAGCTCGACGTTATTCGAAAGCGATCTAGCTACCCAGACAGACCCGTAGTTTCAGGTAACACGGGCTCCGACCCTGCGGAAGGTGCGAATAAAGAGGAAAGAGGTTGCCAATTCTCGTCTCGTCGCGGCAATTGAAACAAGAAAGGGAACCATGCAATAAATTCTGGTGCTCACCTGGTGTGAGAGCGGGCCCTCCTGTTTCTTCCCAAATGGGACAATTCGTGATCGTTGTTGGACTGCGTGGTAGAGAATGAATGGTCGATACACGGGCGTAGAACACACCCCATAATCATCTATAGATACAGAATAGTGTCCATCACACCTTCCGACCCGTTAGCGTGTCGATATGTCCTCGTGCTGGGTCCCGTTTTTTTCGAGTCCTTCTCTTTCCAAAACTATCGTTCGTGGACCCCTCCCCG